GATTGTTTTTTCAAAAGATGCGCCGTGAAATTCTCTACAAAACAGTAATCAAACCTATTCCTGAAGAAAGTTAAGGGAAAAAATTAAACGAAGATTATCCAACACATAAAAAGTACCCAACTTTCAAAGCTAACAAGTGTTCCATGAACGGTCGGAGTTTGTACTTCTTTTTTTCATCATCTAGTAAGTTTATTTTAAAAAGACAGTATATCAGAAGATGCAGCGTGAAACGCTCTACATGTTACATTAAAAACCTTATGCACTCTTTCTTTCAAAGTGAGAAAAACTTTGTCCGATCAATTTTAGATGTTACGAAAAGATCATTTATTGGTCTCACGGAACGTTGCTTATTTTAAATAACAAAATGTGCATATACATAAAATAAATTGTTGTTTGTAAATTGTAGAGCTTTTCACGCTGCATCTTCTGGTATATTTTCTTTTCTTGTAATAAAACATATTAGCTAATAAAAAGGTGAAATAACAAAAAAACGAATTCGTAGTGTATCAAAAAATGATCTTGTTCGCAGTCTTGAAAATTAGTCGCATAGAATTTCGTTTATTTTGATAACAAAGGGTACATATTTTAAATAAGATTTTTAATGTAACATGTAGAGCTTTTCACGCTGTATCTTCTCATATACTATCCTTTTAAAATAAACTTACTAGATGATGAACAAAAAAGATACAAACTTCGACCATGCACTATGAAACACTCGTTAGCTTTGAAAGTTGGGTACTTTTTATGTGTTCGATAATCTTCGTTTAATTTTTTTCCTTAACTTTCTTCAGGAATAGGTTTGATTACTGTTTTGTAGAGAATTTCACGGCGCATCTTTTGGAAAAACAATCAGCTCTATAGGACACAAAAAAAAAAGTTATAGCCAAAACATTGAGAGGGACATTTATTCTGGGCCACCCGTTACTTCCATTTCTCCCTTCTTTGTTATATATGAAAGACAATCAGTGTAGATATCAATTGCCACCCACCCATCATCAACTTAAAAACGATTTTTCCTACATTCTTAATACCTAATTTAAATAACTACAGCCGATCGAAAATTTTCGGACTTCTTAATTTCATATGATATCTCTATTATCAACAAGATGAATCTATGATTATAATTCATATTATGGGCTCATTCTTCGACAACTAGTATTGTAGACAACAGACTATATTCTGTACTAGATGAGGTATGTTGATATGTTGAGAGTAATAGAGAAATGTCAAAACATATACAAGAATATAAAACTAATTTCTGAATTTATTTGTAAGTTTTCAATTACCATCATTTTTCTTATTGATTAAAAAACATGCAATTTTTCATCAATTACAAATTGGTTCAATTTTGATTGCTAACATATTCTCCGAATTTTTCCTTTTTTTTTCCATGTACTATTTCGTCCAATTCTATGCCATTTCTTCTTCAGCACAAAGTCAGCATTTGATGAATTAACGAAAAACAATCATTACTAGTCGATGATACATAAATTTTTTCAGAATGATCAATTTTTTTTAGAAAAATTATATAAATATTGAAAGATTAATTCGATGTTTGTCTGTCTTTTCAATCTGTATCAAATTGTAATAAATCACTAGTCACTAGTTTTTAATGTTAAACGACATTTTTTCTATTTTCTTCATTTCTTGTTGTAAATTAGGAACAATTGACATAGATCAATAAATCGTTTGATGAATTACATCTTGTCTTGTGTCAATCCATGACTTTTTGCCATTTTTTTTTATCATATTCGATTTATTTATTGTCCTTTATGTGTCAATTTTTCAGTAGTATATCATTCTCAGTAGTTGATTAAGATTTTTTCTCGAATCTATTATTAAATCATTGTTCAAAGTTTTGAGCAGTATTATTAACCACTGAATTAATACTAAGTATGTCAAGTTCATCATTGATAAAATTAACTTGATCATCTAAAGAACTCAACTGAATATTGAATGAGTTTTAACATTCATTGAAATGACACTGAAGCGCATATCCTCCTTACGACAACGATATAATGCAAAAGATATCCGCTTACCATTGGTGACTAAAGACATTGCTGATATCCGATAAAAATATAATTTTTTGCTCTTGAAAAAGCAATGATGATGACAAAATCTATATGTTCGTTGAACAAGTAAATAACAATCAATGTTTATTATCTTGTAAAATTTGATGAATGAGTTTGAAAAGAACTAGAAGTTGTTGCTATTTTTTTCTATTACGCTTCTCATCAAGATCAATGATTTTAGTAAAGTTGGATCTAATTTCAAATATGTTCGTTGAAAAATCACAAATTAAAAAGATGCTATGAATGTCTATAATGAACTTCATATTTTAGTAATTTTAAAGCTCAATCTTCATTCAGTGAATTTTATGAAGCCATTCTAGCTCTCATCGAATGTATCATTCTTTTTGTATTCATCAATAATTGACCATATAACCCGTCTGATATTGATGAATATTGATTAATAGAATGTTTATCAAAATATTTTCATATTCATTTCTTCTTTCATAATATGAAAGCTATAGGCTCTTTGACAACAAGAGGAAATATACCTAATTGAATACTCATGTGAAGATATTTTTTTTTGCAAGTATCTCTTATTCGGCAACTGCTCTAAGATATATTATATAAATTCTAATATGAAAAATAAGCATTACGTCGTATTCTCATATTAAAAATTTCGTTCTTGCTTCAGATTAATAAGTATAGATTCAAAATGCGTGTCACTCATAACTCTTTCTCTATCTCTTCATACTCCTAATCATGTCAATAGAACTATTCGCTGCACATGTCAACATACATAACATTTACTTTAAAGCAATCAAACTATATTTAGCTTTAATTAGATAATATCAATCGTCGCGAAAAATCTAGTTTTTTCTTTTGTCTCTTCTACTCATTTTCAAGAACGATAAATGTAATTTTGCAATAATAAAACTGTCTTGAAGCAAATAACAAGAAAAAAAAGTCTTTTCATGATCAACATTAATCCAGAATGTTCCTTCCCTTTTTCTTTTTTTTGTGTTTCATCGCTACCATTCTATACAAATACAAGTAAGGGTTATAGGGCAGCGAAGTGTACTTAGTCGTTAATCATTTTTTTCAATATTCTATTACCAATTTTAATAATTATGATTTTTCTCTTAAATAAATATTATTTCTAATCAAAACGAAAGTTTTTAATCAAATTAAAAAACTTTTTCAATGAAAAAATTAAAATGTCTCTTTTTTTTAAATTAATTTTAACTTGTCATCGAGCGCTCTCTATTTCAATTGTCATGTCCTTTAATTATTGGATATACTGAAGTATTTATTAAAATGTCGCTACTTTCTGTAGTAAAAACTCTATTGTAGTTAGCGCTATTTCGATGATATATTGTGCTAATAGTATTTATGCCACGATAGAAGGAGTTCAATTAATGTCAGTTAACTCATCATCATTAATAAACAGACGGCAGTATAGAGGAAAGAACGGAAAAAAAAGCAAGATGGGAGGACAAAATTTCGTGTGGGTGGTGTTGTACTTTGTCTTTTGTTGATTGTTTTCATTTATCCTTAATTTTTCTAGATGATATAATCAACTAATAAAACAATAAAAAATAAAACATTACTAATTAGTTGTCATGTCTGATGAAACGAATACGATAACTTCGAATGAAGATATCGGAAGTAAAAAATCCAAAGTAGGAAATATTTTTTCTTTTTTCTTTTTTAAATTTTATCTATATAACAATATAAAATTGTTAATTAGGATCAAAAATCATCAAAAGATGTTTGTGATGAATGTGGAATTGAATATATACCAATGAAATATGTCGATAATGATTTTGTTAATCTATCAACTTTTAAATTATTTTCACAAAATATACGTCCAACTATTAATTCACGTTATCCAAAATTAGCAACACAAAAAATAATGGCACTTATGGCTGCTTATTGGCGCGAATTTCTTGAAATAAAAAATTCTCAAACTTCTTTAAGTAATACATTAACTGAAACAAATAACGATCAAGAAGGAAATGATCGTATGGATATGGATGAATCACGTTCTATTGCAACATCAACACCTCCACCAAGTCGTTCTCGTCGACGTCGTGCAGTTGTACAAGATGAAATCGATCCTGATGATACAAATGATCAACAAGATGATGATGATAATAATTCTGTAGCAACAAATTCATCATCACGTAAAAATCCGACTAAAAAAATTCCATCATTAAAAATAAAATTACAAAAAGATCAAGCAGCTGCTTTAGTAGCTAAAGAACAAATGAATTTATCAGTAGGTAATGATGAAGAAGAAATGAAACCATCAAAAAAATCTAATCGACAACGTAAACGTAAACGACGTGATGATGAAGATCCATCGAATGAATCTG